CTCTCTCTCTCTCTCTCTCTCTCTCTCTCTCTCTCTCTCATCTGCCCTGTGTGACTGTGGAAGTTTTACAATCCAAAATCTGATGGGGAAGCTGGCAAGCTAGAGATCATTGCTCAAGTCCAAAACCTGAGTCCCAAGTCCACCTGCCAGAATCTCCAGCAAGTCCCTGCCATCTTGTTTGTTCACAGTGCTCTCTGATTCTGTGATGAATGGACGTTCAATTTTATCAAATGCTTTTATGTTTGTTCACATGGCCATGTGTGTTTTCTTCTATAATATGACAATGTAGCAAACATGTTTTTTTCTTTTCATTTCTGGAGAGTGATTTAAGTACCTGATTCTTAATGTTGTACAACCTTTCATTTCTGGGATAAACCTCTCATAGCATGATATAGCATCCTTTTTTACATATTCCTGAGTCCAATCTGCTCATATCTTCTTGAGAACTTTGGAATCTGTGTTTTCAAGGGATGTGAACATGTTTAGTTTTTTTTTTCAATGTCCTGGTGTGGTCCCATAAAACAAGATGGGAGGTATTGACTGTTCTGTCTTCTGGAAGAGTTTTCGTAGAATTTGGTATTATTTTGTAATTAATCCTACATGTCCTTCAGAGCCTGGATGTGTGGCCATTGCATCTGTGAAACCTTGCCCCGTCTCACAACACTGTCTGATGATGATGATGATGATGATGATGATGATGATGATGACGACAAGGAGCTCCTGCTGCATGCGGTGAGGGCACAGGCCCTAATAAGTAGACATTTCACATTTTCATTGAGTCTATCTTTTGAATGGAGATGCATCCTTTTGTAAGGAGACGCTATCTTACTGTTTTATAAATGTGTAAGCACAGGCTCTGAATTGTTAAATAATGCACCCAAGGTCTTATAGTCTCTCATCTGATCATTATTTTTCTTACTAAGAGCCTACTGAACCTCAGCCGACCCAACACCTGCAGAATGAAGTTCTCACACCACAGACTCAGGTGCCCCTGGGGCTGGTTTATCATGTGGATTTCCAGGATCGTCCCCACTCCTCTGTGATGGGGAGTCTAGGGAGCTGCAACTAAAAGATGTGTTATAAATAAGCACCTAAATGACTTTAATATCCACAACGGGTCCCAGAGTAGCCATTGCACTAACTGCATCTCACTTTGCAAGAACAGCTATTTGTCAATTTCTCATCCATCCCTACCTAGACCGTGAACCTCCAGCAGGATGCTCTGCCTTTATCTCCATGTGGCCAAACACAGTTCCTCACCTCCATCATGGTGTGAAACATTTATCTAAGCTGAATGAGAAGAAATTGGAGTGGCCTTTGCTCACACTCATGCTCAGACAGGTCTTCAGCCTCCTCCCTGACTCTAGGGTTCCAAACCAGTATCACTGGGAAAATGAAGGACACATAGATTATGTTCCTGCCTTAAGATCTTCAGGGGCCTTAGAGGCTCTCTCAGTCTGCTCCCCCATGAAATCATACAGAAATAAAATTTGAGAGGAAAAACAATTCTCCCAATGTCACACAAGCATCTCTTCCCAGTATGAGGCCTTTGCCATTTTACAATTTGTGTGTTCAATTTCAGAGGGCCTCCTGGAGAAGGCTGATGGGAAGAGGTTCATGAGGAGAAGCGAGCAAAAGACCTGGTTGGATTTATATGAAATTTATATGAGAGATGGTTGTCCTGAAAACCTCACATCACAGTGTAAATAAGTCTTTGTCCTTGTATCTATGGAAATGGAATTCACACAATCCTGCCTGAACCTCTCTGCCTTTTAAAGCCAACAACATAATGAATCAATCTTTGAACTTGAAGGAAGTAGGGAGGGATGGAGAGTAGAGACTGTGGCCAGATTCTAGTGCACTCAGGAGGGAACATAGGGTCCTTCTGCAACGTTGCCTCTTGCCTGGTCACAACCTCTGAAAGCCTCAGGCTGTATCTGTCCACTAACATTCAGGGCTAATTTGTCTGTTGGGAGTCCAGTATGAAAGCAGTCAGTGTGAGGGGCTGTCTACATGGGAGGGCGGAGGAGCTGGGAATTCACCGACTGAGATGGGTCAGGGCCAGCAAAAGCACCTGACACTGAGGGTGTCAGGATGCAGGTGGTGGGAGTGAAGCCTGCCCTGCCCTGCCCTGCGCTGCCCTGCCTCTCTATTCCTCAGAAATCACCAGGTGACTCTCAGCTGTTGAAGCCCAGAAACAGAAGGTGAACTGGGAGGTGGAGGCTAGGATTCCATGCCTCTTCCTGGGACTGAACTGTTTGCTTACCTAAAGTGGAAGTTCAAATTCCCTGACTGTTGGAGCTCCCTTCCTGCTCCATATGTCTGGGAACTAGTTCCTGCTTAAGGCTGTATTCATGTTTACATCACTGGTGTGCCATAAAACCAACAACAGTTTGTACCCTATCTTCCTTACCTCTCCATCTGGCTGTGGTCGGGGCATTTCTCAACCTACTCTGATGCCCCTTTGCCACTTGCAGTCCTTGGAGTGTCCCCTCCCAACACCTTCCCTTCTTCATTTGGGATGCTCAGGGCCAGCGAAAGCACCTGTCCTTCATGAACACCTGTATCTACCAGGCTGTCCCGCATTCCCTGACAGTGGGAAGAGGACCTCATTAGGCTCTATCTTCTCTTAGCTCTGACCTTTGAATACCAACCCAAGCTGCCCAACCATTCCTCATCTCCCTGGAAGCTCCAGATGGACATCAGGGGTTTGTGGGGAAGGGCCTGAAATCATCTCTATACCTTCAGAAACTCATTGTGAGTGGCACATCCTGGGTAGAGACTGCAGGGAGTCCATGAATGAAAGGGAAAGAGAGGCACCTGGTGTGTTGAGACAGGGCTGCTGTGCTGTGCAAATAGGAGCAGAATTTTCTGGAGATGCCACATAGGTGCTCTGTTTCAGCCAGGGAGGGAGCGCTCACAGGGATGTAAATCTGGCCTGTGCTGGGCTGAGTGTGCTCTGCACTGAGAGCTCAGCTGTAACCAACTGGGTGACTGTTCAGGATTCAGCTAGTTTGCCTGCAGATAATGACTTCAGAACAAAGTTCTTGTCTGAAAGCAGAGAGGGGGCACTCTGCGGGAAATGCTTCTCAAGAACAGTACTTCAGCCAAGAAAGAAAATGTCTATAAATTCCCAGATTACCACCTGGAAAGGCCACAGTCCCCAATCTGGCAAATCTTTCCTGAGAATGCTGCACCAACCCTAACTCCAGGGCCATCCCCGGCCCC